GTAGGGCTAGCCGTGACTTTGCGCGAGGTCATGTGACAGCTTGCCGCCTTTTAAAATGGAGTCAGAATCGCGAGTGGTTACATTGGATTGAAGAAACTGAATCATGTGAAAGCACCTCAGGCAGGAGTCTCTCTGATCAATCAAAAACATAAAATAGATCACGAGGGCATTTATAGATAGACACAAAACCCCCCTAAAAAGTAGAATGTCGTTTCTTCTGAACAGATCTGCTCAAGTGAAAATAAAAAGTATGTGAATTATAATGGACAACTTATCCGAGTGACAATTTATCCAAAAAGGTGATGTAATGAACATGATGCAATGCACTCTTCTCTGTTCAAAACAGTCCCCACCACCAAAACAAAAAACAAAGAAAACCAAAACAAAAACAAAAAAAAAAAAAAAACTGGCAAATCACAAGCCCCCTTTGAACAAAGAATTTCCTTCCTCTTGGTTTGGCAAATAAGGAGTTTTAGCTGTCAAGCTGGAGGAAGACGAGAAGTAAATCAATGGGCTAACGTTCTCATCTTTCACGTGTCCAAGCACTCGCGTTTACACTTGCTGTTGCAAAAAGGGCAATCTTGAAGAAAACAAAGGATGTGCTCAGCATGTCACGCGATCTGAAGGAGGGCGATGAGCAGATCGCTTTAACCTTGACTGATGTAACAAGGTGTGCGTACGCACCTCTTCAATCAATGTCCAGGCCTACATATGTTTTCGGAGGATATTTTCAAACAATACATCTTTATTCTTTTTAACTTCAAATGTTTGCCTGGCAAACCACTGACTTTATTCAATATTATTGGCCGAACTGTTTTATGATCGGATTATTTGACTTCCGTGGTCCTCGTCCATGTTCTGTTTAAGTCCTTATGCACTAGAGCAAGACTAAAGGTTTGTAGTGACTATGTGGAGTTCAGTATGAGAGAAAACATATTTCACCCTCTTTCCTCTCCTAGAGATTCAATTAAAAAAAAAAACTGGCAAATCACAAGCCCCCTTTGAACAAAGAATTTCCTTCCTCTTGGTTTGGCAAATAAGGAGTTTTAGCTGTCAAGCTGGAGGAAGACGAGAAGTAAATCAATGGGCTAACGTTCTCATCTTTCACGTGTCCAAGCACTCGCGTTTACACTTGCTGTTGCAAAAAGGGCAATCTTGAAGAAAACAAAGGATGTGCTCAGCATGTCACGCGATCTGAAGGAGGGCGATGAGCAGATCGCTTTAACCTTGACTGATGTAACAAGGTGTGCGTACGCACCTCTTCAATCAATGTCCAGGCCTACATATGTTTTCGGAGGATATTTTCAAACAATACATCTTTATTCTTTTTAACTTCAAATGTTTGCCTGGCAAACCACTGACTTTATTCAATATTATTGGCCGAACTGTTTTATGATCGGATTATTTGACTTCCGTGGTCCTCGTCCATGTTCTGTTTAAGTCTTTATGCACTAGAGCAAGACTAAAGGGTTGTAGTGACTATGTGGAGTGCAGTATGAGAGAAAACATATTTCACCCTCTTTCCTCTCCTAGAGATTCAATTTAAAGTCTCTGTGGCATCTGGAGTTTTCTTTCATTTCCTCGCCTTTGGCTCATCTTTCCTTAAGAGCACTAATGGCTGTCCCTGGGTATTTGTTTGGCCTCAAGCACACAAAGAAAAAGAAAAAAACAAAACAAAAAGCAAGCCAGCCTGTTCAGCCTGGCGACAACCTCTGATGACCTCTCTGAATGCTGATGCAAGGTTTAGCACCAGACGCACTCCTCCTCCCCACGTTTAGTTTGGCGAGCCGGCAGAAGAGATCAAACGCTGGGCCAACATTAAACATGCAGTGGTGTCGAGTATGCCACACGCAATGCGGCGTTGGTGGCTTTGCACAAGGCCAGTCATTGCGGCGACATGAGGAGAACGGTCTAATTTTAGAAATGGGCCGCTGTGAGATGACGCAACTTTTTGAAGTTCTGACTCAAACGGGGAGCACCGCAGTGGACGAGTTGTGCCGCCAACCAATTGTGAGGTTGCTTTATCAGCTCAATTCTTTTTCTGGGGCCACACTCCAAAAACAGAGTCTTAATCGTCCATTGGTGTCAAAGTATTGTATTGGCCTGAATATAAGACGGTGTGTTTTGCATTGAAATAAGACTGAAAAAGTGGGGGTCGTCTTATATTCGGGGTCTAGACATTATACCCATTCACGACGCTAGATGGCGCCAGATATCATTGAAACGAATGCTGAACTTGACTCCCCAGGCCAAAGTGAACCCCTGTCACGAAGAATAAAAATAAAAATAGCGGTAAGAAAGAAAAGAGAAGAAAATAATGGAAGAGATAACAAAAAATTGAGAAACCTAGCGACAATCTGGAGAAAAGTGGGTCGAAGATCGGCCAGGTTAACCGGCAGCTGAGGAGAAGTTATGATGTAATTTAAATTTAAAAATCCAGAAGCCATTCATTTACGAATGTGATTGCACTGTAGTTTACGTATTTAAATTTTGAGATATTAAGATTTGAATGAGGGAAAATAACATGCTTTTTCTCTCAAATATATTGTTAGAATCATTTGTTTCAGATGTACTGTAAGTATTTTCTGTATAAAAATTAATTTGGTGTTCAAAAAGTCTTTTTTCAAACTTGACTCTTGAAAAAGAGGGGGTCGTCTAATAATCAGGGCCATCTTATATTCGGGCTAATACGGTAAGTATGAATGTGTTCAACACGTGAAACTTGGTCAGCAACGCTATGTGCATCCCAGTAAGAACTCCGGAATTAAATTGGAATATGAGTGTACTCAGACTACTGAAGACTACACTCATGCTTACAGACTGTCTTTTAAAATTCCACTGCAAAGGATGTTGTGTGTGTGTGTGTGTGTGTGTGTGTGTGTGTGTGTGTGTGTGTGTGTGTGTGTGTGTGCGCGCGCGCGCGCACGCGTGTGTGTGTGTGTGTGTGTGTGCGTGCGTGCGTGCACGCATGTGTGTGTGTGTGTGTGTGTGTGTGTGTGTGTGTGTGTTGGTTGGCTGGTTGGTCTGTGTATAAACAAACAACAGCACCTCAGGGGGTCTGGACAGAAAACACCTTGATTCAATATCTGTTGCCATGATAGATCATCACTCATGCATATATAGAGCACCGAATGGAATCTTAATGCATGTGGCTGAGGTGTGTGTCTATGTGGAGCCCCTCTTTCCTTTCTTGCCTCCGCATTCCCTCCTGTCACCTTCGAGGACGTTTGCAAGTTGTGGCATACCTTCCTCAAGCTCCGGAATTTTACGATTGTAACGATGAAGGCAAGTTCGGCAAAAAGATGTGAAATCAAGGCGAGGTGCAGCTGTTTTGCAAATGTAAGCCAAATGAGCCTGGATCAGAGCGGTATGTTGACTAAAGTGAGTGAATCCTTCAAATATCTTTTATTCCCATTTGTACAAATGCAGCGAGAACACCGCAGTCCAGTTATAAAGACAAATATATCAAATGCGTCATTGTTTTCGAGCAGTGTTGTCGTGGCACGTCACCGATCAAAAATGCCAAAAATAGGGTACATACTGAAAGAAAATATAGAATTGAATGTCAGTTCATGTGAAATTTGGGCCCGTTCACTTGAACACAAAGCTAATATTGTGTTGGATGAACGGCACATCTTAACTGCAACGTTTGCCATATTGTGGAGGAGCATTTTATTGTTCCGCTTGTCACTTTTGGCAAAGATAGATGACGAAAGATACATGGCTGTTATTCTTTCACTGCACACTGATGTGCAGAGTGATGGAATCACTGCTTTACAGAAAGTGAAGACCAATAAATATTAGGTTGCGAAAGAAATAAACACATGGACAAAACTGTTGGCACCCATTCATTGAAGAAAGCGTTTTCATATTTGATGGATGCCTTCCCCAGACATCATGTTTCATTTTCTTCCACTTGTACCGACTAACATTTAGTACAGGGGTTTTCTGAATCGGCAACGTTTTCTTAGCACTCTTTAAACGCAGCTTTCTCATAAATTTTGGTTCCATTTCTTGGAATAATTGAAAGGTCGGTGCCAGAGGACTTCAGGGCCCATGAAAGTTGATAGGATAAAAGAATATCAGATAGGTGTGATGCCCCAAAACTGTTCAACCCATTTACAAACTAGTAAAAGAACCTTAAAATCGATCCTGAAAGGCACAATGCAGTGATCTTAAAACCAGTGTAATGTACTCCTGTCCTCTGGTCATTCATCAGGACAGGAGCAGCTTAGTTCTGAAATGATTGCAGGTTGCCGATGCTCCTTTTTGGAAGACCAGAAAGCAGGGCATTGCAGTAATCTAAACAACGAGACATAATAGCACGCATAAGCACCTCCGTGTTAGCTTGAAAGAGAACCGGGTGGACGGATTCGCAAAGATGGTAAAAAACAAAAACAATTGGCTTTAAGTTCCTGATGTGTGGAATAAAGTTGAGTTTAGAGGCTGAAATGACACCCAGGTTCTTTTCATATGAGGGTTTCAAATCTTGTAGTTTTGATGACAGTTTCTCTCTCTTGGCTTCAGGACCAATACTAATATCTTGTCCTGATGTAAGATATTCACTGCCGCCCACGACTTAATATCTCAATTCTGTAGCTTCAGAAGGTGCTTCACCGCTGATGTTTTATAAGCGGCGGGGCAGACACCCATTTGATGAGAGTAATTCACAACATTCAAATTTTCTCAAATAAGCCAAACATTATTTTTAAGCGTGATGTGGGACTTGAATTTATCCAAATTGGTGTTCAGTAAAAGGTTGATGGTGGAGGAAGGGAATTTGGGATTGTTTTTGTTTTCTGCGAGGAATTTTGAAGAAAAAAAAAGGGTGGGGAGGGGGAAATTCTTGCCTGTTTGAGTGCATTATGTAGATTTTGAGATGTTCACAGAATATTTCATGGTGAACTGTCACTTTGTTTTTTGTCCGCATTCTCTCTCCATTCCTCCAATTTCATTTTTTGATTTCAACCTTTCTTCGCGGCTTAGTGGTGTAAGATTTATTTTTTTGTCAAAAGTGGAACCACTCAATCCAGTGTTAACTTGAGTTTGGTTTTAAAATTGTAAAAAAAAAAAAAATAGAATCACAAGCTGCAAATAAAATATCAGCAGAGGTGTGTTGTAAAAATCTCGATAAAATTAGCAACCACTTCACAAGTCAGAGAGCATTTCCTCACCTTTACCTTGGAGTCATGAGGGGTAAAACTGATAATGGTATTTAAAACAAAACAAAAAAGAAAAAAACATCCCGACTTTTTGGTCGACATAGCCAGCTCACAAAAGAGGGCGCACGAGTTGACAGTTTATAAGGAGATCCAGGATGAGAGCACACCCTGTTGTGAGTTGGCTGGGTGGCGTGCTGTTCAATGTCCAAGCAGCTGAGGAGGTTCAAAAATACTCACTATGCAAATAAAAATCTCCACTTATTGTAGGTGGTGTGTATGACTCATAGAAATTCCGAAAAATCACTGATAACAGAAGTGGGATGTTGCCTTGTTCTGAATAGTGCGGGAGAGCGGAATGACAGAGGAAGCAAAGGAATCGAATTCAAATCATTTGCAACAGTAAAAGGAAATCTAGCCTTGCCTCCGTGAGTAAAATAAAGTCCATTTTATCGTCAACAACCAGGGGATTTATAATGAACGTAATGTTGACAGGAGAAGCGTGCATTCAGCATGCCAGATTCATGTTCCTACGAAATGTGCACTCATCAAAACCAGATGTGATGGGAACTCGCAGGAGGCAGGTCCACCACTCACTTGCGTTGGGGATGTTATTGTGCGCAGGTCCAATGGAAGTTCTGACTGGTTGAAGGTGAAGGTGAACAGTACTCGTGATCAATGACCGTTATTTGGAGAACGCATTGCAGGAGAGCAGAGTGAGTTCAATGTTCATGGCTAAAAGCCGAGATCCAAAGAGATTTGGGTGGAGGTGGTCTGGCTTGAAAAGATCCCGTCTATTGAGAAAAGTGGTGAAGTTGTCCACATAGGGGATGCCTCCGCTGCGACAGTATCCTTTAAGCCAGATATGGAGTTGTCTGATACGGCTAAACTTGACCTCACCAAAGCAGGGTGGAACAAAGGGACCTGAGACGATGACACGCTTCTTTGTGTCCTGGATGGTGCGTATGAGGGAGATGTAGTCATTCTTAAGTTTCTCTGACTGTTGCAGGTTGTGGTCCCACGTTCCAACGTGAGCAACCACGGCAGAGACCGACGGCTGCTGAGCCAGCAGACGGGGGATGACGTCATTGACATCCTGAACGTGTGCACCTGGGTGACAAGAAATGCTGCATCTGCTAATCTTCACATGCCGGACCATCGAAGTCCCGACGATAAGCACGCATACCCCGCCGTCCCATGCGCCAACGTCGTTCTATTTTAAAAAGAGGAGGAAATGATATGCCAACGGGTGATTAGACCAGTTGTATTTTGCACGTTTGCTGTCAATCATAGCTCGGATGTCAGTTACCTGCTGGAGAATATCCGAGAGTTCTTCTTGATAATGCTCCTGGTTTCCGAGAATGTGGTCCCAAGGTGGGAAGGCGCTCTGTTGATGATCAACAAAGGTTTTCCAGCAGTATTCAAAGTCTACGGAGAATGGGGAAAAGAATCCTCAGCATTCGGTTTAGTTGTCGAGAATGTATCATAATTCTCAATGACCTTTGTTATTCATGACTCGGAGGGGCACTCCGGCGTCACTCAGCAATTGCAGGCCCTTGCGATTTTCCTTGATGTCCGTGCGGTAGAGGCGTGACACGAAGATCCTGAGCTTTATGTTTGCGTTGTTTTGGAGGAATTGGACTAATGCCTGGGAGCAGTTTGCGCAGGGGGACCAGGACAAGTAACATGTGACCCTGTTGTTGTGTCCTCGATGCGACGTTTTCAAGTAATCCAGAAAACGCATCTACGTGAGAGAGTGAGCAAACAAATGGATGACAATGAGCATTTGAAAGGGATCTTCTGAGAAGGCGCTCCGGGATGCTTCTCCATACTCACCTCTGCGTGCGCTTCACCAGAGGTACTGCAGAAATATCCGGAGACAGAAGTAGCCCCATTTTGATCGCTTTGTGCTGTAAAGCACAGATAGGCTCTCCCACGTGCTCCAAAAAGTGCATTTTCGTATTGGAAGAGAAAGTAATCCCTGCTCAAAAGCTCACTGAGGCAAAGGGAAAATGAGATGTCATTCATTCACTTGCCTCAATATTACAGTACAATTGTTGGATGTAATGCAGCCTTCCCCAAATTTTGCAAGCAACGCGCACACATTCGGACCTACCCTGGTTTCTCCATTCCGGTGAAGAATGTCAGCTTTCCAGTGCGTCAGAAGACCGGCACCTATTGACCCTTGCTCTGTCAAGAGTGTTCCTTTCTCATCAGGCAACCTCACCCAGCCTGTTCGGCTTGCCCTGTTTACCCAATCAGGTGCGAGAGAGTATGAACCAGCTGCTGCCGATTCTCACTTTCGTTTCTCTTTGCCCACGTGCGTCATTACGTGTGCTGGTATTTCCTCTTCAATGAATGGGCCTATCTTGGAGCGACGGGGGACAGTGAGAACCAAAGCTTGTTACTTGTGGGCGGTCACACAACAAAATGAGCTTTTGTTTGCCTGGTCACATTCGCTACGTGCTTGGCAGAGTTTATGGCTGTTGTGACATTCTTATCTATTGACCAATAAAAAACTCTGGGTAGAAACACATTGATGCTGTTTTGCAGATTCCTTATATTCCAAGACCGTTGAGACTGATGGTTGACCGTCATCTTGTTGTGGAAATGGCAATGTCCACATTCAGTTTCACCCCATTTGACGGCAGGGATTTAGAGAAAGAGAATGTTGCATATTGACATCTGCACCTTGTTGAATTATTACTGTAAAAAGCATTAAAATTGTAATATGATGACTTTTTTCACTCAAATTATTCAATGAATATTGTAAAATTCCGATTTAATTTTTTTCTGGTATTCATACAGCTTTTGTTTTTTATCCCCCAAATTGTTAATATCATATTTGTCAATTATTTTGTGCAATTAGGACATTATCCTTGTGAAATGATAACTTGTTACTTTTGATTTTTATAGCTTATTTCTTGAACTATTACTAAGTTAATGTTATATTATTCAATTCCTATCTTAAACATTTTAAAATATTGTTGAAATTCTGACTTATTTCCTGTAAATGTACAACTAAAGATTGACATTTGTTTCTCATATTACATTACCCTGACACTAGGAACTTATTTTATGAAATGAGTACTTCATTTTTGTAGAAATATTACTACTTGTAATATTATGACTTGAAAGTTGTGACAATGAGTGAATTTTTGTTCTGTTCAGTTGCACGTTGCACTTTGGTCTTGGTCTTATTTTGTGCCAGCGATTTTTTGTTCATTATTTTTGTTATTATTATTATTTTTTTCAGGGATTCTCACAACATTTTAAGGTTGGACAGATTTTCCTCTGTGTTGTGGGAGCTCAGTCGCTGTCACGCCCAGTCCTGTTTTCTTTTGTTACGTTGTTTCCTTGTTTAATGAAGTTAATTTCTCACTTTTGTGTCAGGGTCCGCTTTTAGCTCAAAGGCCAAAGTATGACTTTTTGTTTTCTAATCCCCAGAGCTCGTGACTTTCATTTTACTCTTTTAAGAGCAATTTGAAAACGATTATGGATATGATATTAAACAACAAAAAAAAGATTGTTTGAATAACATCCGAAAAAAAAACATGCAAATCTTAATGCACTGCGGAACATTTCAGACATTTTTAAAACCTCTTGTGAGCCTTTCCATTGTTCATTAATGCAGAAGACATTCATCTTTTTACTGTATCAAGCCGTGACGCCTAGTTTTTATGTCATATGGATGTATTTGTTTCGATTACATTTGGTTTTGTTCCGTCGTGTGCCCTTTTTGTCGCCACCTGTTCTCGTTATCAGTGTCCCTTGTGGTTAACCAATCAGCTCCCTCAACCCTTTGTGTCTTGTCCAGGTGTTTCTCGTTGTCTCGTCACTTTGCTTGTATTTAGTTCCCTGGGTTCTGTCAGTCTTGGTTGGGTCATTGTGAGATGTGAGTGTGAGTATCTGTGTGCTCCTGGCATGTTTTGTTTTCTGACATAGGTTTTTGTTACTTTAATTTTTGGTTCCTTGGGTTGTCAGGACTTTGTTCGAATACATCAGTTAATTTTTTCCAGTGTACTCCTATTTGTACTTTTGTTCAAATACATTTTGGTCAGTCCACACTGCTCCTCCTTGCCTCCCTGCTTTTTGGGGTCCAACCTACCGACATGAAAGCAGCAGTCCAGTGTTTTGTCTTTTCTTGTGATTTAGGATTTGGTGCAGTAATGCACTGCATTTGATCTCTCCCCACAACTCACACATTTTTAGCTGCATGTACCGTATGTCCACCATGGAAAACTTGACACTTACAACACAATAAACATAAATAGAAGGAGCACGAAGCACGTAAAATACAATAAGCTATTCAAACAAAAGGCCACGATGGTAAAAGGTCAACGTGGAGCGACCTGGAATTGAAACTAAAACTAAACTAATGGTGTGGATGGAGCCACAGCAAAAGGAGGAGGATGGGAGGAGGCCTTCAATAGAAATGAAACTGAATCCAACCTACACAAGAAATGAAAGAAGATCAAATAGAAGATACTGGTAAGTATTTACACTTGTGTGTGTGTGTGTGTGTGTGTGTGTGTGTGTGTGTGTGTGTGTGTGTGTGTGTGCGCACACACACACACACACACACATATATATACACACACACACACACACACACACA